TAGAATAACATTTGAAAATAACATTTGAAATTTAATTAATGTTTTTCACCATTAACTGTAAAGGCCAAATGGCCTTTATAAAATCGAGAATTCTGGCGGGATCAAAGACGGCTTGCAATTATTTGCATCTAAAATATACAATGTATTCCTTTGGGTCTCTCCAAAGTCTGGACATTCTGTTCAGATGTGTCTAATGGTAAAGTAAAGTCTGTGTCCCAAAAATCGGTTTTTCATCTCCCTGAAGGAGGTATATATGTAATATATATGTGAATGTGTCAGGGAAGTGTGTCCGATACGTAGTCGAGTAAGGTTTCGTCTCTTCTGGAGAGGCCCAAAGGTTTTCGTGGACCCGGTTTGGGCATGATGTTATGAAGTTTATTGTTTATTTTTGTTTCTTCCAATGTGTCTCTCACAGACTGTTACGTTTTATTTTTAATAAGTCAGTTCGTTGGAGAGTGCTTTTCTTTGATCCCATGAGAAGGGACAATATAATATTGTGATTCCTTCGCCGGGATATCCACCTCTTCGTTTCCTCGGATGCTCACATGGCTAGGTAGCCATACGAACACGATTATCCTACTTTTCCCGGTTTCAGTGTATTTTCTGTTGTAACCTAACTATTTTTGTGTGTAAGAGTGTGTAGTTTGTAAGTGAGGTGATGCAAGACAGAGAGTCCGATAGGATAAGGAAAAATGTGTTAGGAGAATTTCAATGCCATGTCAATGGCAGTGGCTTCTGCAGAGAAAATGGAGGCTTCGGGATGGAGTCTCCTCTGGTGTGTGCTGTACAAGTACAAGACAGGGAGGTGCCGCCTACAGCTGAGTCCGATTTAGAGCCATCTGTGAAGATGAGCTCTGCACCAGGGTATTTTTATATGTATTTTGTATTCTGCTTTAAATATTTTGGTGTTTGTGCTTGCTTTGTTGTGTGTTATTTGCTGTTACTGTTAGTCTCCTTTTGCCTTGGTGAGGTGCCACGCAGGGAGGTATCGGGGAAAAGAAATTGTTCGATGTCTTGTTTAGAAAGGTGTATGTTTTTGAGGTTTACAAGGACTCTGAGGCCGAAAGGTCTGATATGAGTTATCAGTGTCTGGGCATGTTTCGAAAATGCAGTCATGTGCTGGGTGGTATTGAGCTCTGTTTAATTGCATATATTGTAGTGAGAGTTGTGTAACATCTGAGTGTAAGTGATGGTATGCGTGAGGCAGAGTCCTTGGTTCTGTACTGGGTCTAAGTACTTTTAGGACGTCGAGTTTTGCCGATCCATAAAATTGACAGATGTTGTCAAACCTGGATAGCACAAAAGGGAATAATTTAGATTACATTAGGGGCGGAGGTCAGTGGCATGTTTGGCTGACCAGCTTAGACCCTCCCGTTTTCGACACACGATTACCAGCGAAGGTTAATTTATGACCTTTTTTGTTAGTTTAGTAAAAGTTTTACGGCGCTCGCAGCTTCATAAAGGAAGAATGTATGTGGAGAAGGTGTTGTAAGTCCCCGCCCCCACTCCAGGTGCGATAAAATTTTCAAACCGTTTAAAGCCCTTTTTTATCGTAATTACATTTGACTTTGAAAGTAAAATTTCCATTGCTGTTTTTCATATTGACCTCTTAAAATTCTCTTTTCTAAACATACAACAGTTCTGAATGAATCAGCCCAATATCCTTCATAGTATTCCAATCCAGTACTTCCTTTTCAATACCGTATGTTTACTTCAATTGTTTATATACATCAGTATCAGGGATACTTTTCAATATAACATGTTATCAAAATGCTCTCAGGAAAAAAAAGTTACAGGCTGTGTTTATCATTGTTTTCATTTTGCTGTCACATAAGTTTTAAAGTAATGGTTCCTTCACATCTCAATGTGTAATTTTTGTATGCTTTCTGTATTGTATTTAATATGAAACTGCCATTTCGCTTTTGCTTCAAACTTTAAAGCTTAATAAATTCTTCAATTTTTAAAACAGAATCCATTACAGTGGAGTCCACTTATAACGAGCCCTGAAACAACGAGAAGTCTGTTATTAAGACACTATTCTAAAACCCCGTTTTTTTCCCTTCTCTATCTTTGTAAATAAAATACTGCTATAGCGCAATCGGACAAACACGGGAGTCGGTTACAGCGGAATATTGCTGCTGCTGTGCACAGCGCTCAGGCCAGTTATACATATAAACCTCGCCAGTTGAGAAACTTGTGGGTGATCTAGCGAAACCTAGGACCTTACATCAACTCCTTGAGCGAAACAAAGAATAGGAGAGCCCACGTTTGCCAACAAAGAAGGCCGGAGCGAATGAGTGGGGAGGGTGTGGTAAGCACAGACAAGCAGAACGCATTGTATGATAGGCCAGCCTAGTCTAGATTATCTTGGCCTACCACTTCTCCGATGCGGGGATGGAGAGGTCACAATGCTGAGATAGATGGAGTGAATGTGTAGTAACATGCGCAAGCAGACGAAACACACCACGGGGTGTTGTGGGGTGGGGGACAACACAGCGGGCGAGTTAGCTCAGAGCGCATTATTTCTGATCGCCAACGCTGGGCTGTCAACATCGCTAGCGCTTGAGAAAGAAGCCTGATTCGATTTTTGATTAAGTAAGACCAAGAGGTCATGTTGAACAATATCATCATAAGGGTAGATAACAAAAAGAAATAAACAGAACACCAAACTCATAGATTACGCCTACTTATTATTTCCATTGAATTTATTACTGGATTCCTTATAACGAGAATCCTGGTATAAAGGACATTTCGCACCGGTCCCCTACGTCTCGTTATAACAGAATTCCACTGTATTACACCCCAGCACAGATTTCAAATAAATACTCTCAGTTGGAGCTTTTTTGTTCCCATCATTTCTATTTATATAATGTTTGTTCTTTTGAAGTAGTCTTTCTCTTCAAACTATACTATATAATAAGCTTATGATAGGTCAGCTTTTTCTTTTACATAATATGTTCTTATAATAGTTATAAAGGGTTTGAATTGAAATGAGTACATATGTGAGGCGGTATGGTGAAATCTGGTGCTTGTCAAAATAATGAAATAGAAGAAACTGAATGTTTCTGCCAGTTTGGCAATTTTTTATCGAATTACTGTTTTTTAGCTTAACACCATTGTTGTCCAATTAAGAACAAATTTCTGGGTGGATTTTACCCGAAGAACGATAATTAAAGGAACAAAAAATTTAAAGTTTTCAGTGTTCACGGACTATCAAGCTATGGAAATAACCAGACTTTGGTGGCCATTTTTTCATTAATTCTACCTTTGAAACCAGACGACTGAACCTTCTTCTATCTCAAATATCTTGACTTCTATTAAAAATAGATGGGTATTTTTTTCACCCATAGCAAGACCAGTGAACAAGCTTTTAGATGATACCAATAACTCGACACGCCCCAAAATTGACGAGCGCCTGATTCCACCGCGTCGTAACACGTATGTATGTATGTATGTATGTATGTATGTATATACATGTATTTATATATGTATATATATATACATATATATATGGTAGTCTAGTGGTTAGGCTACCGGACTCGTAATCGTGAGGTTGCGGGTTCGGGGGTTTGAGACTCGTGCCTGATGCGTTGTGTCCTTGGGAAAGGCATTTTACATTAATTTTCCTCACTTCCCCCAGGTGGGAATGGGTACTTGGCCATAGACAGCGAAAGGTCTTGTCAGTACCTGTATGTTTTTAGTTTTCTAGCACCTATAAAATGGCAGGTTGCACTGGTATGCTTCCCAGGAAGTTGAGATTGTTTCAAAATGCTATCAGGTATGCTTGGGTAATAATAGATTGTAAAGCGCATAGAGCTTGCTGTTGAGCAGGAGTTTGCTCTGTACAAAACCTATCTATTATTATACATTATTATCTTCACCTAAGATCCCGGTGCTTTGGCTCAAGGAATATGCGGGATCTTAGGTGAACGGGATCTTAGCCAATGTACCAAGGGGAGAAGAATCCAGAATGATTCATGTTCAGGCCCACAGTCGGTAAAATCGTCTCTTCTTATTCTGAAATGAGCTTACGTGACCCCCTGGGTGGGTTAATGACTGATGGCGAGCAAAGAGTGGTCAACCTTGACAACCAATCACAATGGCATGAGACACGCTATTTTCACTTATCCTATCATTAGTCTCAAGATCTATGCTGATCCTATTTCTCCTCCCCTTTACCTGCCCAAAATTTATAGCTTTCCATCTCTGACCGAGTTCCCCCATCTCTGTCCTAACACACCATTGTGTTGTGACCGCACCACAGCTCGCTATGGACCGCACCAATTAAAACCCAGTCTGTCTAGCAATAAATTAGGGAGTAAAAACAACTGCTGCAGTGGTCAGAGAAGAGTTCAATTTGATGTGATCCTGTCTGATGCAGACTTGTGGGCCCTACCCACCCAGAGTGATGATGTAAGCTCAGGTGGAAAGCTCAGATGCAAGTGTGATGTTCGGGGAAACCAACTTGTCGACAAGTTCACACCTCGGTGTGATCCTGTCTGGGGTAAACATTGTAACTTTTCTTCAAGATTTATTATGGAGATATAATCACGTTCACAAGAGTGGCTAAACTGTGATGCAACAGGTAGTACAATGATAGCAAATTTTCGCTGCTTGGCTGATGAGCCGCGCCAGACCAGATTTTTTATCCGTAAATTATGATCTGAAATGCTGGATCTTATCCGAAAGTAGCCCTTCAGGGCCGGATCTTAAGGGTGAATTTTGTATAGTAAAAATTCTATTTTCTTAAAACAGTGGGATCTTAACTTAAGCAAACCGGAATTGTAAGCAGTGGGATATTAGGCGGATACTACTGTAATAATATCCATTTGTATTAAATATATTTAGAAATTTTCAAGCTTCAATTACATGTTACCTTGAGAATTTATTTTACCTTCACTTTCAAAAGCTTCCTCGTTTGCCTTTGCCTTTCCATAAGATGTTGCTGATTTAAGAACAAATTTGTTATCTGTTTTTTCTTTTTTTTTTTCCACCTTAAGCTCCCTGGATTCCGTGGTCGACAGACACTGACTGACCCTCGACGTCCTACCATCAATTCTCCCAGGAGTTTACAGAGGGCCCAGGCATCTCGCATTAGAATGCAGACTCGGCAGTACAGATAAATGTGCCTGTAGAGCACCTTTTTTTGACAAACTGTTACTTTCCTTAAACCATAGATCTACATAAATTAAATATCTATAAAAATTATTTTTTTATCAGCACATCTTTTGTCAAGACACATTTAGTAAATACATTTTTTATTCAAGTTTTATGGATATGTATGCTTTTTGTAATATAATATCTTTAACCTGCTGTATGTTTAAATTCTTTGTTTGTCTAATGTGCACTATTCTGATTACATGTAGGCCTATAATGAGGTCAAAAATTGGGGGTTAATTTTATCCTCAAAATATTTTTAGCCCTATTACTATCAGTGATAAACTTGCACTTGTCAGGGGAAAGTCTTTGGAACAAGGATGCACCTTTAGATGTAAGCAATGAGAAAATATATAAATGATAGAGATACAAAGACCATAGGAAACTATATAGAAATTTTGAAAGAGCTATAGCATAATCATACGCTGAAAAAAGTCATGATTTCTACATTTCTCCCCTAAAATCTTCTGGAAATCCCGCCAAGGACCTGAGGAAGCCATTTTCACGGACTTGCAGAGTTGTAGCCGGTTCTAAGTTAAAAATAACGGACAATGTTTTGTGGTCCTTTGGCTCAAAGAGAGTTCCAGTAACTACAGGATCTTTTTAAAATTAGCGCACTTTCATTCAGATTGTTGAGAGAGAGAGAGAGAGAGAGTACTAAATCAGCTTCTAGCTAGATCTAGATCTACAGTAAATCAATCCCAGACACACGATGTTGTGCCATCCCTTTCTGGTGTGGCTTTGCGCTACATTTTTTCCTCATGCACATCAGTAGACGTGGAGAGAAGCTTCTCTCTCTACACATTTTTCGTTAACTGTAGGCACAGGTCTCAGTCTGAAGAAACAATCAAGTCCCTTTTACTTTTATTTCTGCATTACAACCACTTTACAGATATATATATATATATTGATTTTTTCAGTTGAATTTTTCACTTTGTATCGAGACCTAGTCTACTTTATATCCTGCATAGAGACATTTCCAACGAGCATTTTAATGACAATCTACATCAATAGATAATCTATTTTATATTCATACTTAAATGACATTTGCTTGTGCACAGTCCAGTTGTTGTTGTTTTTTTGTAGACATTCACATACAGTGGAAACCATATATAACAGGCCCGGTAATAACAGGGATCCGGTAATAACAGGGATTTTTTTATATCTCTCCGATTTTTCCTACATTTTGTCTCTATTAAAAGTTATCGGCAATAACAGGGCCTCATTGGAGCCCAATCAGTTATAGCAGGGACAAAGGGTCATTATGTGTAAAAAGGGTGTGTGTGTGTTTGTGTGTTTGTGTGTGTGTGTGTGTGTGTGAGAGAGAGAGACGCAGTGATGGAGTAAGCCCACGCAAGCCACGCCACTGCAAGCACACGCAGCGGGTGAAGCCAGAGGGAGGGCTGTGGTGTGCTACAAACTTCGATCTAGCCCTATAAGCCTAGCTACACGCACGCGTACTGTGTCATGCACAGGCCTGCCACATGACCAAAACCCTTGTTTGTGGGTACTTGTGGCAAGGGAAACTTCCCATGAATAAATAATACAGCTGGATTAGTTCACAAATGCTTACTTCCCTTGCATCTCTGATTGAACAGGGATCTTATATAACACATGGCACACCGACAGTGGAATTTTAGTTGTAGCGGGGGGTTTCCCCCTGAGCACCTTATCACGTCGGGATCACGTGGGTCGGCTCCCTGTCGCCGCTCTCTCTGGGCTGACTTCATTTTTGGTACTTTTCAACGTACAGTTTTAGGTGTATTCTTGTATATATGGTAATTATCATTTAACGCACCCAAAGCTCGCTTTTCTGCTCTTGAGACTCAAAAAACAACGGACATTGTAACTCGTCTGGTTATTTTGTTAGACACGCAATGCTAAATTGTAAAAAAATGTGTACAACTGTGAATGAAAAAAATAAATATAAAATGAAAAGCACAACAAAAACTGTCGAACTTTTGGAACATGAACGACATAGCATTGGTGCTGATACTCAGAAAAGATGGTGTCTGCGCGTACAATAGGAAGCTGTAATTTTGCAACTTTTTCCATCTGGCACACATTTCGCTATGAAGTAGGCCTAATTCCTCCAAATACTACTTTATGTGTCTAATATAATTGAGAATATTCTAAAGTTGATCAAAATTACCCTGATGTCGCTCTATGAAAAAGTGCGAACCGATTTTAGTGCCAAAATACATCTACAACAATGTAATACATGAACAGTAGGCTATCAGTTACACTCCATAAATTATTCCTTATTTTTCTTAAAACGCTAGATCTAGGTTTTGTAAGTTGACTGAAAAATAGGGATGACTTCTCGTGATTGATTTATAAGAATAATTTCCAGCTTTCCAGCAACACTGAATCAGCACCAGGCTTTTCCAGCTTTTATTTTCGTTTCTATAAAACCATTTGCAATAACTGACAATGTTCTGATTTCTTTACATTAATAAGTGTCAGCGCATATGTCCGACACAAAAACTAAGAATGAATGTTAGCTGTCGTTATGTTTATTCCATACAAGAAGTTCATCTCTACCCATGTATTAACACACTTTTGTGTTTTTTAAAAATCTCATAATATAGGCCTATCTTTCTTAGTTGTATGCAGGCTGCCACAGACACAGCATGATTCATGAACAAACGCAGAGTAACTTTCTCTTATTTAATGGCTAACGCTGAGTGTCTTTCATTAAAAAACGCAGATGTGCATCTTTCTTCTCTTATACTTATAACTCGACTCACTATCACTACTCGCGCAGATTTAAGATTTCTCATGGTAAAAGTAAAAGACATGATATTCGTAGTCAGTTTAACGCAGATTTTGGAGAGATCTGTCGTGCCTTTTTAAAATAACAATAATGTATTCATAAGTATGTAACTAAAATAGGACATATTGAGTACTCTACAAACACTTATCAAGAAAAAAAACTATGGCACAGAAATAAACCATTCTAACGCAGAATAAATCTCAAGACATTGAGCTTTTAGTACTTGTGCGTAATGGTTTGCTGTGTGGGATGGGGAAGAAGTTATATTGTTTCAAACGTAGACAAAAATGCGAACTTCTTAACCGACTGCGGCAATTAAGTCGCTTCAGGGCTCATTAACCCCGTGACCCCGAGCCGGGGAGCTCCGGCAGGCTGCTGAGTCACGCTAACTAAAGGTAACAGAATTGGGCGAAAAGTGACGCCGTGAACAAGACTTTTTCTCTGGTCCCACTATCCCTGTTATATCAGGTTTCCACTGTACTTTACTTTTGATTTTGATCTAATAAAACTCACGTTGGTTACTTTGATTGCAATTGGCATACCGACAATGTATTCCATCACATTTTTTTAGCTTTACGCATCTTGCAATAAAGTTGCAAATCTTCTTGCAACTTTTGCTAATTTTTCTTGCAACTTTTGCTATTTTCAAATGCAACTTTTTGTTATTTTCAAATGCAACTTTCTCCGGGGACAGAAATCTCCTTCACATGGAAAATGGGACTGTTCACAGCGCTTCCCACTTCTTACAAAAATTTTGAGTAAATAAGAAAACCTAAAATATATAATATGGCCTACATCACTACTGACCAATGACACTTTTTAGCTCCAAATTTTAAGCATCCCGATTTTTCTTTGATCACATAATATGTAACCTGATTTTTTGTTCCAGTCTGTTTCGCCGGATTTTCTGAAAACTTACTCTGCCTCTGACGTTCGCATCACCTGGCATGACTTCGTTGTGTGAGTTCCACGTGTGTCGGGGACCGTCTGTTTATGCACACTGGTTGAAGTGTTTTTCGGGACTTATTTGTGGTTTGGGGGGGGGGGGCGAGGTGTTGGACACGTAGATTTGGAGTGCTTGACGTGATGCTTCAGGATTTTATCGTGGGAAGCACCCGTTGAACTTTTTGTCAGTAGGAACTTTGAGCATTATTGTCCGTTTTTAGTAGTTGACTTGCCCCAAGTTGTGTTTGATCTTTGCCCACACTGAGAATCCTCCGATAATAGTCTAATAATAATATGCTACAATTGCGACATATAAATAATCTATAATATTCGTGGTTCTGCTGTTACTTTCAAAACAAGCTTTGTCCGAGGTCTAGTAACTGCAATACACGTTCCCACCAAACGCTCGGTCGAGCGACAGTCGTACAACTAACTGTGCTGACTAGACTAACACTCAGCCATTGTCGTTGCTTTGGTCTGAAAGCAAATGAGGGATAAAAGATTTGCTAGTAGCCTACATCTAGTCGGTTGGCCGATGTCGTTAGCCTAGAAGAACTGTCGCTTGTCCGAGCGTTTGGTGTGAATGCGCAGTTAGTTGGATCCGTCAGTAAAACTGTTTCAATTCAATCGGACATTCGCATCACATGACAGGACATCGTTGTGTGAGTTCCACGTGTGTCGGGGACCGTCTGTTTATGCACACTGGTAGAAGTGTCTTTCGGGACTTATTTGTGGTTTTTGGGGGGCGAGGTGTTGGACACGTAGATTTGGAATGCTTGACGTGATGCTTCAGGATTTTAAAAAAAATAATGATAAAACACACACACAAACACACCCACGAAGGGCATGTGTATATTATATTCATGGACACCCTGGAAAATGTGTCAGTTTGGCAGTAACTTTGTGATTTGCTGTTGAGATTTTTCCCCCCTGAGATCCTGATTTTGAGATTTCATCATAGAGTGGCAGGTCTGCCGAAACTTTCTTCCACGACTAAAAGTAACGATGCCAAGGGGGGCAATTCATACCAGAAATACCACCCCCTTTGTCTGCTTAGTCTTGTTTCCACATTCAAGAACTCGGATTGAATGAATTATTGTACCTTTTACTGTAAATTTATCTGTCAACAACCAATCTTTGGATACAGTAGTGGGCCTTTGTATATACAGTTTGCAGGATCAAGCTGAATTGACTACAGTGGGTGTCGCATTCAACGAGGTCACATTCAACGAGAAGTCGGCTCCAACGAGGCAATCCTTTATCCCCAATTTTTTCCTCTACATATCTCTTTGTAAATGTACGTCCGTTCTTTCGAGGTTGCAAATAGACCAAAGTCCCTTTCAACGAGGTCGCGAAACCAAATTAAAAAAAGCAATTTGAATTAGCGGCCCCAAAATCGAAGAATGGTTCTACTTTCTCTCAATCTCACGCAAAACACTTAAGGCCCATCCTCAATTCCTAACAACACATTATATTGTTTGATCTAGTGTGCCTCCTAATATAGGCCCCAAAGCCAAGAGGTTGGTCGAGAGTTAGCCTACGGTGGGGATGGGAGGGGGTGGTGGGAACGCGTTCCGCGTGTGTGAAAACTGGATGAACTCTGGATGGGTAGGTCTAGATCGAGACCTTCATTTTTTTCAGTTTTCTTTTCTTCCCCTGATCAGAAAATCCAAGCTCCCACCTTTACTTTTCTGTATATCTAAGCCTAGATGTGAGAGGGTATATTTCCTCTCGAGAAGTGCTTGGGGTAAAAATATTTTTAAATGCAGAAATGACGGTCAGAACACAGCTCAAACACGCACACATTGATGCTCTGGTTTGAGATTTTCGTCTTCAGTGGGAACAGCTGTTTTAATTACTGGTATTGGTACATTGTGTAATATAATGGGGAAGCTGAGAATGTTTCGGAGTGTTCTATGGTCTGCTGGGGTAATAATATAGTGTAAAGCGCATAGAGCCTGCTGCTGAGCGGGGATATGCGCTATACAAATGCTATCTATTATTATTATTAATAACATGTCTCCTTTCTTTTCTTTAGTCTTAATCACGCTCAATGAGAGGTCGAATCCAACGAGGACAACAAGCCAGTCTTGGCATCCTCGTTGAATGCGACACCCACAAGACAGACACAGCCCTCCTCTAATACATGGAGTGAAGCATATTTTTATAGATGAATACAGTCAAACCCTGCTTTACTGCCTACCTTGGGACGAGCATGAAATTGTTTTTACAGCAGGTTTGGTGGTATAATGGGAAAGCATCGATTGCCATCTTGATCTGTAGTAGACTTTTAGAAGAGACTAGAGACAAAATGACCAGTTTGGCTTCCTTTGTATAGCGCGACTGCCTTGGGCAGAGGAAAAATGAGTGGCAACCAGTTACCGTTTTGTACTTGTAGGCCTAGAGCTCCAGCT